GATATCATTCACTTCGGAACTGTTACCGTCTCAATTTTTCCGTTAAAAAATCCGTGAAATTAAGGGCATTCTCATTGAAACAAATGTATGAGTCTCAATTTTTAAGAAAAATATTGTTGAAGTCGAAAGAATATTTCAAATTAAATGTTTTCTCCGGTGCAAAAGCGTCACTCTTTCGATATTCAGTTGAAGGCATGATAACGTGGTCTCTGTGCACAGATTACTCCGGATATATTAAGGTTAAATTGAACATGACAGTTGATTGGATTCAGCCGCTGATTTTTGGTGGTTTAATTCAGCGTCGACATTCGGAAATAGCGAAATATGATTGTCTCTGGATAAATGACGCGTTCTATTTTCTTCTCAGGAAATTTTATTTGATATCATTCACTTTGGAACTGTTTCCGTCTCAATTTTTCCGTTACAAAATCCGTGAAATTAAGGGCATTCTCATTGAAACAAATGTATGAGTCTCAATTTTTAAGGAAAATATTGCTGAAGTTGAAAGGAGACTTCATATAATTCACTCTGGAACTGCAGTTGAAAGAAAAATTAAAAAAATTAAGCATTCTTTGATTCAAAGCGTCACTCACGTGGCTCCTCCCTTAAAAATTCCACCCCCTCCGATATTCCATTAAAGGTATGATAATGTCCTGCCCCCGTACACGTATTAATCTCCCGATATTGAGGTTAAAATTGAAGATGCCAATTGATTGGATCCGCGCATTGATTCCTGATGGTTCTGGTGGAGGAGACCGTTGTGGCTAGTGTCTATCAATATTCAGTTATGGTAAACCGAGGGGTCACCCACTACCACCGTATACCGTTGGACCTGCTTCGTATTCACGTACCCCACCTTCCTCCTACTGCTTATATACACACCTATATGGCCAACCAACATGTACTAGAGGGTATAATAAGCGCCACTGTACACATACAACACATACGTTTTGGTCAAATGTGATACATAATGTGCATATCCCTTCTGCCAGTACCAATGTACAAGCCCCCTTACATGCACGTGACACATGTACCTAATGTATAATCTACGATTGTTCGTAAGAATCGCGGATGCGAGGGGTCGGCGGCAGTCGAGAGTCACTCATGGAGATGAGATTCTAAATTTTTTATTATAAAATATTTTGCCCAGTGTCGTTTTGAGCGAGTTCAATTATGGGATCGATTGCATGATGTCTGCTGCAAAAAATTATTTTGAAGACAATACTCTGGGAACGGTAAAAAAATTTTACGTCGGCGTAATGTTGGCTGTCCAACGTTGGGGCAACGCGGAATATTTATTTCAATATTTAGTTTTGAACTGATAGTGAGGGGAAAGTCAACAATTTTAACGGTGGGGTAATGTTAAATTTCAGCGGTGGCGAAATGTTGGCCGTCGACGTTGGGACAACACTCATTATTAGTTCCAAAATTTATTGTGAAACCAATATTCAGAAAAAAGTCGTAAAATTTCAACGTCGGGGCAATGTCGGCGCAATATTGGCGGCCGACGTTGGAGCAATGTTGAATATTGGTTTCAAAATTTATTTTGATCACTATTATTTATGAAATTTTATGAATCATATGGAGCACTTCAATTTCGGTGAAACCATTGATTTCGAATTGATGAAATAATTAGAAGACAGCAGTCACGCCAGTCATTGAAATTCTATATCCCCGGAATCCCCGAAATCCATTTCATTCCGAAGTCATGGTGTCACTCAATCACCAAGTGACACCACGACGGAGGGGTGGACTGAGTGAGGCTTTATCTAAAACCAACACAGCTTTCGGCACTGATATCGTCGTCTATTCAGTCGCCTAGTTCTTCGACTCGAATGAACTTTAAAAAATCAATTACCGGGTGGGCGGGCGCCGATAAGTCCCTGCGGGCTTGTGGGAGAAGAAAAAATATTCCGAATATAAGATATGATTGAGAAGAGAAAAAACAAATTCACCGAGTTAATTATAAGTTGGATCGAGCCGAGGGGAGAGAAAAATAAACAAGGATGGTTATTAANGGGGGGGGAAATGTTATAAGAAATGGTACCAACTGGCCAGAGACTCCGTCGCTGAGCAATGCTTGGTGAGCCGGAGAAGTCAGTCGTGCAAGAAATTAAATATTATCCCCCTGCGAGGTTTAACCCCCCCCCCTCCCTGTACTCCTATCATATATCAACTATCGTCGCGAAATTTTATTTATCGTATTGTGGACGGCGGCGGCGGGGAACGTATCACTTGGAAGATTGGTCAATTTATTTTATTCATCGAAAAAAAAAACATTTCTACCAATTTACAAATTTATCCATTTTTGAATTATTCTTTCAAGACATTTCCATAAAAAAAAATTATGAAGTGTTCAATTTAATATGACATGTAATGTTTAAATTTTAAAATAGTAAAAGTATAAATTTTATTCTGTGGAAATTTCAAGATTAATAAAAATTGTCATGAAAAATATGATTTTTAATTTAATTCGAAATAAAAAAATTGAAGTTTGAAATGCAGTCATTATTTTGATTCAAAAAATATTGTGCTTTCAATAAAACCTGGGGCAAAATGGGTCCCCATTATTGCTGAAAATTTCCCATTCCATTGCCGATAAAAATTCCCCCAATATTCTAATAAACATTCCCCGCGCGCACCCCAATTTTTCTATTAACAATCGCATTAATTGTAATTCAATCTCAAAACTTTAATCATTTCCCCCCAGATCTCCACCCACTCGTGTCACTGACAACTAATTTATTAAGTTACCGTGTAAAAACGCACAATGAATGGGTACCGCTTGAGTTTGGGCTTTTCGTTAAAGTGAAAGAGAACGAATAGAGATGGGAGAGTTCACCACAAAGTGAGTGCGAGCGGGGGGTTGAAGGGGGCGGGGGTGAAGTGAGTAAGAAGGGAGAGAAGAGAATGCGAGAGGGACAAGAACGCGAGGGCTTCTCTTGCAGGGATAATCGATGGAGCTGCGCACAGGGTCCCTTCCTCTCTCAGCCCACGCTCTCTCCTATTCCTCTGCGTCCTTTTGGCGATCGATCTCTTCAGCCCAAAAGTTTGTGTATTTCACCGTTTATTCATGCGTCCTCACTCACTGTTTACGGTAACACGGTTAACGAGTGCTGAATAATATTGTAATGATGGAACACCAGGATTGATTAACCTCTTAACCCAAATAATTCATAATATTTGCAGTTGAAAATGCTCAAAGTGAATGCGCAAACTGATTAATTGGGATTGCCGAGAATTTAGCGAATTTGTAGGAACGTTGGGGGGGG